CCCCAAAACCCCAAAACCCCAAAACCCCTTGGGCAATAATGTGATCAGATTTTAAAAAGGAATTTAAATTATAATTAAGAAAAAAGAGATGTTTTTGAAAAATTATAAATCCTAGAAACCTGAACTTCAAATTATCCTTTCGGACGGCACATAATTCTCTGTATCGGCAGCTTCAAAGTCAAATACTATATATGAAGTTAAACAGATGATAGAGAAAGATAAAGGTGTTAAAATGGATCAATAATACCTAAGTCTTCCAGACAATTAAAACACTACTTTACATGACCTTAAACAACTACTAGATTACGGTATATTCTCTGATCCTAATGTGTAGTAATGTAACCAAAATCTTCTTTATTATCTATTTAGATCATTTGAGATTAATGATTAGTTCAAATCCGATACTAATAAGGGTTAATTTAAGTCATGCATTACAAAAATATGGAACAATTTTACAAAATAAAGTAACAATGCCTTAAGACACAAGTGGAGCCAGTGCACTTATCCCAACCAATGATGAAATTGAAATTAAAACTTTCGCAGCTTGCTCAATATTTTGCCTTAAAAATATAATCTATTATTAAACAAACGTTCCAGTTACAGATTAAGTATTGAGCTTTTAGGGCTAAACTCTTGATAATGGAATGAATTTGTTTAACTATCAGATTGTTGACAATATCTAAAATAATAGTTTTAATGGTTAAGTAGTTTACAATGCTTATAACTCAAATTAACCCTCAACAGGAGAGTACATGAATAGTTCATCTCCATTTTCAAATGGTGACATTAAAGAGTATGAAATCAATCTGATAACAATGAAGAAAAAGCCTCCAGTCCCTACTTTGAATTTCAATTCTGAAAATAATAGAAAATTATAGCTAAACAAAAGTGCAACCAACTTAGGGTCTGTTACAAATAATAGAAATGAAATGTCTTAAAGTTTTTAGGTTTCTCTGGGTATTGATTTTACATTTAATACTATAAAGAATGTTAAGAAAGTCAACTGGAAAGATGATGCACCATGGTATAGAGAAATTTCTGATGGCTTGAGTTGGATCTGCTACTGTCAGAATCCAAAATGCTTTGCATTTTCATAAATGGTCGTAATTAACAAAGGCTATGGTGTTTACTCAATTAATAAAGAAATGTAATCAATAAGATGCCCTTGTTGTCTTAACGGCAAGTTCTTGGAAGTTAGAAACTGTGGCTTTGTAAATTGCGAATGGGCAATGCGAGGAATCCTAAATAAAAATAAAGAATCTAAAATTTATGCTGATGGTAAAACTTATGATAATAAACTCTACACTTTTAAAGAATGCGACTATAAATCAATCTGGTTTGCTCTAGATATCATGATAAAATAATTAGATGAAAAAACAGCCTTAAAAAATTTACCATCTGCACGAGAAGATAAAAAGAAAAACAACCTAATGATTGACTAAGCATTGGAGTAAGAGGGAGTTCCAATTCCTAACCCACAAGAAAAGCAAAAATTCGAGGGTGAATCTGATTCTTCCTTGTCTGATTCTTCTGATGTTGAAAATAATATGCCCTAACCACAGGCAAATATGAATATTAAAAATGAAAAGATAAAAACACACGGTCCAATTTAGAATATCTAGTTCATGCCTAGTAATAGAGGTCCAAGAGGTAATTTCTGCTGTACTGATAATGGTGTTTAAGTTGGTTGTATTAGTAAAAATAAAACAGAGGTAGAGGAGGATGTAGCTGACTTGGAAAAGCAAGGAGAAACTAAATGTTTAATATTTTGAGAGAGTCTTATAATTTATCGCTTGAAACACACTCAATAATCTATTTTTCTTAGCAACTTCAATATATAAATAACTGTATGATGATTTAATTTGAGAATATGCTTAAATGAGATAATTCGAATTGAGGGGTTTTGGGGTTTTGGGGTTTTGGGG